AAAAAAAAAAAAGAAATTAAAAAATATCTATGAAACATCTCCTGTGTGCCCGGGACTATTCCAGGCAGATAGTCTACACCGTGCTGTCCACTAGAGCCTTCCACAGTGCTGGCAATATTCTGCACCTGTGCGGTCCAGTGCAGAAGCCGTGAATCACACGTGGCTTCTGAGCACTTGAAACGTGGCTGGTGTGACCGCAGAGCTGAGTGTTAACTTGCACTGAATTGCTTTAAATTGGAAGAGCCCCATGTGGCCTGTGTGGCTACCATGTTGGACAGTGCAGGGCTATGGGAGGAGTTAAACAACACACACACACATATCCTACATGATGTGAGTGAGGGGAGGGCGCCACAGAGCGAAGGAAAGGGGGTGAATGGACAGACAGTGGTGCAAGTGGTCAGCAAGGCCTTTTTGAGGAAGTAACATTTGAGCTGAGATGTTAATGAAGCCAGAGGTGAGCCGTGGCTGGAGGGGGGGTGGCGAGGCAGAGGGAAGGGCAGGGGCAGAGGCCCTGGAGTGCTAACAGACCCGGGGTGTTAGGAAGACCTGTATGGCTGGGTGAGGAGATGAGCTCAGAGAGGTGGGGAGAGGCTCTATGGGGGAAGGGGCCGCTTCACCCCTTCTCTTCTCTTCTCTCCCCTAGTTTACTCCAGCTGAGCCCAGCTTGGGCGAACAGGCTCTCCTTCTCATCTGTGGCTGCCCCCCGGGGCAGGACATGGACGGCTCACTCCTCCCAGTGGAGCTGGCCTGGATTTCAGAGCAGGAGCTAGCAGCCACCCTGGCCCAGGTGTCCTTCCTCCCAGTGCAGACACGCACACGCCCTCCCTGGGGGCAGGCTGGGGACTCGGCTCCCCTGCCACTACTGCAGCTGCTGCTAGAAGATTCCCCAGAAGAACTACAAGCCCAACAGGTGCTGGAGGCCAGGCCCCCGCCCGCTTCCTCTGCTGCAGGACACCCCAGCAGGGATCATTGCCAGGCAAGGAGCCATGATGCCTCCCTCTGCCAGGAGTCCCCATGCATTTCAAATCACCGATTTCCCAGGAGAGGCCCCAAGGACCTAAACGACTCTTGCAAGGAGGGAGGAGGAACCCCAGGGCAGAGACCGGAGATGCGGGAGGCAAGGAGGACCGGCGGCAGGAAGGAGGGCAACCTCGGTGCCAGGGCTCAGTCAAGTCAGGAAAGCCGTGAGAACCTGAGACTGGAGGCTGGTGTCAGGGCCCCGGAGGGTGTATGGAATGAGCACGGGGCTTCCGAACCCCCGGCTGCAACCTCCTGCCCTGGGCCCAGGCGGGAGCTTCCACTGCCCCTTCTTCAGGGGGAGGCCTCAGTGTCAACGGAGGGTCCTGAATCCCTGAGCAGGAGGGGGCGGGGGGGAAGGCATGTCTGGAGCCCCCAAGAAGGAGGAGGAGGGGGAGGAGGGGGAGGAGGGGGAGGAGGGCTTTCATCATCAGAGCAGGAAGAGGCCCCCACAGCCGCCTTCTCCAGGGCCCATGGCACCAGTGGGCCGCCTCCGGCAGGTGCTCCAACACTTGCAGAGCAGGGCAGAGCCTTCAGGAGAGTTCCGGGCAAGGAGGAAGACTGCGCGTGGTCTGGAAATGCTCCGCTTCTCCCAGAGGAAAGCCCTGAGGACAAAGGACAGGAAGAGCAGGAGGAATTGTCGCATCTCCAAGGGTCCAGGCCAGGCCACAGGGATGTCCGGGAGGAGCCTGGCTCCAAGGACTGTGAAGCCAAGGAAATGCTTTTCCTACTGCAGGAGGGAGGTTTGCCACCGTCTCCTGGATTGGCTTTATGGCCCGAGGGGGCCCGACCTACCAGTCACCCCCGGGCTCCGAGCAAAGGCCATGAGGGATCTGCGTTAAAAATAGAGGAATTTGAAAAGGAGATGGAGGCTTGTTTCCAGCAACTCTCTATCCTGAAGCCTGGGAGTGGGGGGCATGGCCGGAAAGCTTCCTCGTTGGCAGGAGAGAACTGGAGCTTTGCTCGGAGATGGCACAGCTGCCAGGAGGACGCGTATCCTCAGCAGGCTTTGGCAAACCAGGATCTGGATATGTGTTATGCCAAGGAAGCAAACCCCAAGGAGCCTGATGAAGACGTTAAGCCGGGAGAGAATGAGGCCCTAGGAACTGGCGAAGTTCTTCCAGGGCCGGTGCTGGATTTGGTCAACCTGAGCCCGGGCCCGCCAGAGGGGCCCTCTGAGTGGGGTCAGAACCAGCTCTCTCAGCAGCCGAGAGCCCTCGAGAGAGCGAGGACGAGGTTTCGTCAGCTCATTTCTGGATTGAAGACGGAGAGAAGCAAAGTTTTACGTGACAACGCCAAGCTTCAGGGAGATCAGGAGCGATGCCACAGAAAACTGCGTGTCCTGGAAAAAGAGAGGGAGAGAAATGTGCAAAAAATATCCGCGCTCAAACAGGATAACGGCGTGCTGTTAGGAGACATCTCTCACGTAAAGAGGGAGCTGGACCAGTACGTGCAGGTCATTTCTGACCTTGAAGACTGTAACAGAAAAAGTTACTGCAAAATTTCTGAGCTCGAAGAGGAAAACGAGAGATTGAAAGGGCACCTTGGGCAGCTCCGGAAAGCCATGTCTGCGAGCATCCGAAAATCCAAAGGCATGATGGAGTGCATCACCCTGGAAAACTGGGAGCTCACTGCACTGATTTCGGAGCTTGGGGTCAGTTATAAAGAGCTGATAAAGGATATAGTGCTGGGAATAGAAGACATGATCCAAGCCTTCAGGGGGGAGAATGAACACCTACTACAAAGGATCCAAGTCCTGGAGGGGGAAGTCGTGTGGGGGAGCAGCACAGATGAGGGAACTTTGGTGAGAGCAGAGGAGTATCTCCAGGGAAAAAACATGATGGCGGTGGACCAGGTGAACGCTGTAGAAAGGGGGGTGCAGGTGACTGAGCTTTCAGGGCAACTGACTGCAAGAGGCCCTGGGCCACCCTCGGAGCAGGAAATGGGTCTGGCTGGAGGGTGGACGGGACCTTGTTTAGGCCTGGAGAATTCCAGGTGCGCTGCTGATTCTCCTGCTACATCACTGGTCTGGGGAAATGCCGCGGGATCCAGTGCCCTGCAAGGAAACACCGATGGGGCAGGAGTGAACGAAGCGCATTTGGAGAAGGGCGACAAAAGACCACGGTGTTCTGCAGACCAAGGGCGAGCTCTGAAGTCCCCACGCAGTGGCCCCCGGGTAGGTTGACTCTGCACGGCTCTTTAATCATCTTGCTGACTTATAGCACTGACCACACCCTTTACTACCGTGTCCTCCAGCAGCCCTAGGAGGGAGGAACAGTCACCACCCCCATTTCCCAGATGAGAAAATGTAGGCACAGAGAAGTTAAGTGACTTGCCTAGAGTCACACAGCTAGGAGGGGTTGAGCCCAGACTCTACCTGGGCAGTCAGGCTCCAGAGTCTTTATTCTTACCCTGGACAAGATAATGCGAGTCTGCCCCTCTGCTCAGGCTGTTCAAATTGGTATCTGGTGGGACATGGAGTGGGTGTTTACACTTTAATATTAGAGCTTTTACTTTCAGACCAAGGAGTTTTTCAAGCACCTCAAGTTATAATTCTGCACATTGAGTCGGTTTTTTTTGGTATTTATGTATTTATATTGAGACATAATTGATATCTAACACTGTGTACGTTTAAGATGTGCAATGTGTTGAGTTGATACATTTCTATATTGCAATCTGATTACCACCATAGCTTTAGCCAACACCTCTATCACACTGAATACTGGGTCTTGAAAGGAGAGAGCAGTGGGCTTTAGAACTCAGTCAAACAGGGTTCAAACCCAGGTCTGTGCTGACTACATCTGTGACTTCTCTGAGTTGTTTTCCTCATCTGTGGACAATACTCGACATTCAGGACTGCTAGGATGAAATTTATTTTCCCAGTGGTCTTGAAAGTGTCTGAAGGATATTTAGTGTTGAGTCCTTTGTATATATTCATATACGATCTCTCTGTCTCTGTCTCTCTGTCTCTGTCTCTCTCTCTTTCTCTCCAATTTTATCAGTCATTTCACAGGATCATTTTTGGGTTTTATTGATGTTCTTTATTGTATGTCTGTATTTTATTTCACTGGTTTCTTCTAATATCTTCATGGTTTCCTTTCTTCTACTTTCTTTTGGTTTAATTGGCTGTTCCTTTTCTGGCTTCTTGTGTTGAAAGTTTGGATCATTGATTTTCAACTGTTCTTCCTTTGTGATTTATGCATTTAATTCTATGCATTTCTCTCTAAGCACTGTTTCAAGTACAACCCACACATTTTGATAAGTTGTACTTTTTATGTCTGTTCAGTTCAAAGTTTAGCTTTTAATTTCTATTGTAATTTCTTCCTTGACCCATGGGTTATTTAGAAGTGTGTTGTTGAATTTCCAAGCATCTGTAGAATTTTTTAGTTATATTTTTGCTATTGATGTCTAGTTTTATTTCATTGTTGTCAGAAAACATACACTATATTATTTTATTTTTTATTTTATTTTTATTATTATTATTATTTTCTGTATGGGGGCCTCTCACTGTTGTGGCCTCTCCCTCTGCGGAGCACAGGCTCCGGACGCACAGGCCCAGTGTCCATGGCTCACGGGCCCAGCTGCTCCGTGGCATGTGGGATCTTCCCGGACCGGGGCATGAACCTGCGTCCCCTGCATCGGCAGGAGGACTCTCAACCACTGTGCCACCAGGGAAGCCCCACTATATTATTTTAATCTTGAAATTCGTTGAGATGTTTTTCATTGACCATGTTATGGTCTATTTTGGTAAATATTCTATGTGCCCTTGCAAAGAATGAATATTCTGCAGTTGTTGGGTATTAATTAGCCCAAGCCGATTAATTACGCTAATCAAATCTTCAGTATCATTACTGATGTATGGTCTATTCGTTTTGTCATCTACCGAGATGGTTTTTTTTTTTTTTTTTTTTTTTGCGGTACGCGGGCCTCTCACTGGGTGTGGCTTCTCCCATTGTGGAGCACAGCCTCCAGACGCACAGGCTCAGCGGCCATGGCTCACGGGCCTAGCCGCTCTGCAGCATGTGGGATCTTCCCGGACCGGGGCACGAACCCGTGTTCCCTGCATCGGCAGGCGGACTCTCAACCACTGCGCCACCAGGGAAGCCCCGAGATGGCTTTTGAAATCTCCAACTCTGAGTGTGCATTTGTTTATTTCTTATTTTTGTTATGTTAGTTTTAATTCATATGTTTTGAAATTATTTATTAGATACGCATAGATATAGGATTATGATGTATTCCTGGTGAATTGACTCTTATCATGATGAAATATCTGTCATTATCTCTCACATTTCTTTCCC